GAAGAGGTTCTGGTATCTGTGGGAAGAGGTTCTGGTATCTGTGGGAAGAGGTTCTGGTGCCATGGAGACTTAAGCAAGGCCTAGATCTAAGAAAAGAGGAGAGAAACCCAAATATGGCAGCATGTGTGTCAAGGGTCGCTTAGGCTTATGGCTCCCGTCACAGTCATATTTTCCCAGTGATAACTTCATTGAAGATCTCTCTAAATACAGTTGTGTGCTTAACTCCTGGGGACCGGGCTCGGAAGAGGACTTGGGCACAGAAAGACATTCTTCCGAAGAGATTTCGTTACAGTGAAGTGGTCATACCCAAACACCTTCGGTTCTTCTTGGCCTCTCCCTCACCTGGGAAAGGCAAAAAGGTGTGAGTTGGAAGAGCTCACACCTGCCGCCCATCCTTAGCAGGACCCTGGAAATCCTGAACTTCTCCTGTTCTCACACCCGGGTCGGACTTCTGCATTCTGTTCCCTTACTGGTTCCCCTGGGAGCCTTTCCTTAACGAAATACTTCCACGCTGTTAAAGGAAATGGAAATGGAGGCCGGGGCTGAGGAATCTGAGAGCTGGCAGACCTAGCTACCTCAGGCTTGCTGGACAGGCAAGCTAGGCGACGCTTTGCTTGGGTCATTTTGTACAAAAGCTCGTCTGAGGGCTGGAGCAATCCATGCTCAGCGATTAAGTGGGCTGGCTGCTCCTGCAGAGGACCCGAGTTCCATTCCCAGCACCCACAATCAACAGTTTACAACCACCTGTGTGTAACTCCAGTTCCAAGGAGTCAGTGCCCTCTTCTGACTTCTGAGGGCGCCTCCACGTACATATCATATGCACACATACACATACACACGCACGCACATCAATGAATGAAAAAAATCTTAAGAGCCAGGTGAAGCTGGAGGCCGAGGTACCGTCAAGTTTAAGGCCAGCCTGAGCTACATAATGAGACACTGTCTTGAGAAACCAAAACCACCGGAGTGAGCCTTGGCTATGCTGGCACATCATGTAAACTCTACACTCAGGAGGTTGGAGGAATAGAGCCATGAATTGAGGGGAACCTGGGCAGAGTCTTAAGACCGCGGCAGAACGAAACAGACCGAGGACCCAGGTCCCACAGGAGTGTGGAGTTGGAGACCCAGTTTAACTTCAGGCCCATGGATGAGAGAAGCCAAGCTACTTTGGCTTTTTTTTCCCTTCCAAATACTTCTTTGCCTGCAGCAAGGCAGTTTTCCCTGGGTGGGTGTGTGTGGGGGGAGGGGGGTCTGTGTTGAAAGCATTAACTTCCCTCTTCAGATTTCTCTGTTCTCTGCTTCACTATTTGTGTGGCAGATGACTTTGGATCCAAGTCCAGAGGCTTTGGATTCTCAGAGCCAGCCTGCTGCTCCAGCCCCAACTAGGCCACCTCCCTCAGCTGCCCTGCATCCTGGACCAGGCGTCTGTTCAGTCCGCCCCATGGTGAAGAAGAAGCCTGCTCACGCTAGGGTTGCCTGTAGCTTTAAGGTTTGAGGCAGTGAAAGCTAGACACGTGTCCTTGTAGTTTGCTCTCAAAAGCTCCCAGGTATGTGTGTCCACCCTTCTTCCGCTCCTTCCTGGGAGAACAGTTTACTAAACACTGGCACACCAAGAAGGCCCCAGGCGAGGCCCAGCGCTATCTGCTTCTCCCATCTTCTATCTTCTCAGTGCCTCTCAGCTGTTTCCGGGCCGCCGAGGGACAGAGGCAGCAGTCCTGAGCTGCCAGGCCTATATATAATAAGTCTGCTATTTTCAGGTTAAAATTATATGAGAGCAAACATATCAATCATATTTATAAATGCAAATGGAGTAATTTACCTATCAAAGAAAGTAAAAACAAAGGCTGGAAAGTGAATTGATCAAACACACAACTCCAAAACTTAAAAAAAGAAACACCAAAGGAAACTGAAAGACTACAGAAGAGTACATTAATAAATATAAAAACAGTAAACACTGTGCACTCACCTTTGATCTCAGCCCTCAGGAGGCAGAGGCAGGCAGATCTCTTGAGTTCAAGGCCAGCTGAGTTCCAGAACAGCAAGGCCTTCACAGTGAAACCCTGTCATGGAAAAACCAAAACCAACCGAACAAACAAACAAATGCAAATCAGCTAAGCAACCCAGACCCTGCCTTACACGGTACCCCTGAAGTGACCTGACGTGTTCTCAGTGTTTCGACCAGAAATTATTTGATGCAATCTTCATGTTCCAGCGGCTGATACTTTTTTTTTTTCAGCACAGTAAAAGCAAAAGTTCATAGTCCTTCCTTTATTTTCATTTGGTCATACACACTTTAAAAAAAAACATACACATGCATGCACTCACAAAAGAACCAAATATTAGGAATTAGAAAGTTTAAAACAGGACTTAAGGTGGAAAAAAATACCTCAGGCATCAGAACAAATCAAATCAACTACTGAAAAAAAAGTATGGAACGCTTCACGAATTTGCCGAGTCATCCCTTGCGAAGAGGCCATGCTGATCTTCTCTGTATCGTTCCAATTTTACTTTATTTTATTTATTCATTTATTTACACAAGGTTTATTACATTTTATTATTTATTTACAGGTTTATTAACAATATATTCTAATGCTTAGAAAAGTTTTAAACAAGTCATTCTAGGGCTCAAACGAGAATTCACAGCGTTCAGTTTTAACTTAGAAGAAAATGGTGACTGGGGACCCTGCATGGATGTCTTCAGAGTGAAGAATGCCTGGTTAGCGTTATAATACACCACGAGGTATCTGTTACACACGTTGAATCTGGATAGATGGTCGCATGCATTCTTAGCATCAAAGATGTCTTCATAGACCGCATCGGCTCTTCCTCCGGTCTCAGGTGTATTCCCTACTCTGATTTGACAAATAGACCCATATTTCCCGAATATATCATACATTTCTTCCACTGTGATTTTGTATGGCAAATTCCTTATATACAAAATCCGATTTACTTTAGGTGGGAGGCGAATATTCGCCCTCTTGGCCGCCTGCATCTCCATCTTAGCGGGCTGCTGGAGGCTACCATGGGATCCTCCGAATATCTCTAAAGCTGGGTGACCTTGGAGGGCGACACAGCGTCAGATACAGGGTGTCAACAGCCAGGCAGAACCAAACGCCATTAGAGCACTGCCTGAAAGCTCGCGTCTCAAACTAGGATGTGTTGACGTCCTCAAAAAGATGCTCCAGACCCAACTACCAGGAGAGCGAGCGTTCTCAGACCCAGCAGCAGCGGCTGATTCTTTACTTAAGGTTTATACCATGAGAGCAAAATCATTCTGGTTCCAATCTAGAAGCTGTAGGGAATTCCTTTTATTTTTTTGGTTTTTCGAGACAGGGTTTTTCTGTGTAGCCCTGGCTGTCCTAGATCTCGCTCTGTAGCCCGGGCTGGCCTTGAACTCACAGAGATCTGCCTGCCTCTGCCTCCCGAGTGCTGGGATTGCTATAGGGAATTCTTTAGGACCCTCATTCTCAACTTTCACATCACAAGATGACCACCGTAAACCCACACGGTAGGCCAACGCACATAGTTGCATCCAGTAAATTGGAGGGAAGAGTGCCTAAGGCAGTGATCCTTATCTTTCCTAAAGCTGATACCTATTCTTTTCCTTCTTTGCTGACACCCTTTTAATACAATTATTTATGTCCTGGCGACTTCCAACCATAAAATTACTGTCGTTACTACTTCATAACTGTAATTTTGCTTCTGTCATGAATTGTAATGTAAATATCTGATATATGTCCCTTGTGAAAAAGTCATTCAACCCTGGAGGGGGTCGAGACCCCAAGATTGAGAATCATCACTTAGGCTTCTTGCTAGACATTTGCCGAGCCAGGCTCCTCCCTTCAAAGGGTGTGGCCCAAAACTAGGGTATATATAAAGGTCAAGGTCCAGTACTATGGGTCTTTCCACCAGTTTGGTCGGGAGTTGACATCCTGAATAGGTAAGTCTGCGGCTCTAATCTGGTCGGGAAAAGTTGCCAGCCTGGGTTGGAAGTTCTAAGGTTGGGGAGGTCAGAAATGCTAGAAAG